GTGTGTGTGTGTGTATATATATATATATATAATTCGGAATATATATATAATTCAGAAAATACGAGGGATATCTATATACATCGATATACAGTGCAACAGGGATTTTTTAATCGACAGACAGCAAGGATTGTGAATTGGCATCGAGATATTTCACCGATCGACTTGCACGACAAAGCAGACTAATAATGATCAAGGTATCTTATAATAAATTCGATTCAGCTACACTGGATAATACACATTAAAGTGCTTATACTTTATATAATAAAGTACTTTATACAATAGCATAATATAACTTTAACAATGAAATATACATGCATACGTTGAGAAAAAAATATAAATTTTAACCAAATATTTGTTTAAGTAGTGCAAACTTAACATTTACTTACGGTAAATATTTACTAAATAATAATAACAAATAATAACTAAATCACATAAATCAATAGTTTGTGTACCAAATGATCGAACAATGCAAATGATGAAATTCTTGACAAAAATGAAACTACTAAATGCTAATTTACAACGTCGATTGTTCGACAATAACGGCAAAGTGGCAGGAGCGTAAACTTTATACAGGGTCAAGATGAAGGTCACGAGAAAAAGAAACGACTGGGTTCATTATAGTATGCAGATTAACGTTGTTAGAATCGATAACCCTTCCAATCATGCATATCCCACTGATCGTTTCGATAGGAAATGAACAATGTCAGCGGAAAAGATGTCAATAGATAGGGAGAAAGAAAACGGAGAAGAAGAAGAACGAGAAGGCACACATTCGTGTGTGCAACGATTATCATTTAAATGAACAGCGCGCTTGCTCTTTGGCGCCCCGAAACATGTCTCGAAATCGGGTAATTTGAATATTTCGCCGATTAAGCTGTGGACGCTATTTTACATAGGTGAAGACGGGGTTATTAACCGCATGCGATCGACCCGCTTATTTCGATAATAAATCATGCTAATCTGCATTCGTCGTAATGTCATCTAAATAATATCGATCCAAGTATATTGGACGTCAGATCGAATATAAGAATTAATCTAATGTAAGAATCACACAATGATACGATAACGATTCGATAACGAATAATCGCTTCGGAATTTTCAAGATAGAAATACAGAAATTGGACGATATGACTTAAACGAGGAATTACTTAATTAACGGAATTAGCAACTCCCGCTAATATGTTGATCAATCTTCACTTCGTCATAAAATCGCACGATTCGTCGAGAAGGTGATGGCGAGTGGACCTTGCACCCTCACGAGTTACGCCATTGGTAGCGTTTTCATCTGTGTGAAATTCCCGGCATAGTTCGCGATACGAAGAAGATTCCGCGAAATCCACGCGTTATATTTCTTCTTGCCAGGGAAGAAGATCCTTTGGCGACGCGATCGACAGCGTTCTCTCTCTAAGGCCCAGTTTTACAACTGACGATTAACTCTTAACCGAGGGTTCAGCTTATTCATTATCTCTTTTCAATTCTAAAATTGGAAAAAGATGAGAAATAAGTTGAATTTCGGTTAAGAATTAATCATGAGTTGTGAAACTGAGCCTTAATCGGGTAACGCATCAAAATGCGCCACTGATTATATGTGGGTTATAACAAGCTCCGGCTAATAAATTCTTATTGAGCATTCGCGCGTTTGTTTGTAACGTTACCATTCTCGATTCCCGTAATTAGCGGTAAATTAATATTCGCTGTGAGCGCGTATGGACGCGGTAGAATGTTTCGAAAACCCGCTTAACGCCCATAAACATACACATACCCTTTTGCCAAACGGGAAAGGGAAGGGGAGGGCTATGCTTCGCAAATCGTATCGATCGCGTCGTATTTACCGAATGAGTTTTACGAATTACATCCGTGGCACGTTTGATTTGCACGGCATTTCGATACGTCGATTTTCCCCGCCCACCTATCGATGATACTCGCGTCGCTTTTTCATCCTATTCGGTTAAATTTGTACATTGCATATCCGACATGATGCATAAATAAAGAATTATTTTATCAGTCGTTAAACGAGCGATATTACGCTCTTTTTTATACAGCAACAGCGGGTAAATATAATATAGAGTAGCTCAAATTCTTAATTAAATCCTAGCTACGCATTAAGTCTGGCCTTTTGGTGCGATTTTATTTCATCCTTTCGAGTATGTATGTACATTCGAAGAAAAATTTGTCAATGCGATTGAAACTTCAAAGTCCGTACCTGATCCGACTCGCGCAACAATTCCGAGGTGATAAGCGAGCGACACGGTCCGTCTAGATGGGACTTCCGTCCTAATAATGTCATCGATTCGGAGAGTCCGAAAGAGGTTGCGAAAAGAAGGTGGGAGTCATGTCAGAGTATGTAAATCGATCGCACGACATCATGGTTTCCTAAAGCAAAACTCGGTTCCGGACTAAATGACACGTTGACATGTGTAAAAATAAGAGTAGAGAAGCACAGAAAGATTGACGGTGAGAGCATGAAAAAATCCGTGATTTGAACCTCGTATTACATCGTATTCCCGATTATAGCTCGATATTCAAGAGTTTTGTTGAACACGGAGATTTCAATATCAATATCCGTTTATCTTTCCTCTTTTTTACGAAATTAAAATATCTCGATGTCGGAGACGAAACCCACAATTGACAGCCGCAGGAGTTGGAGTTTCATGATTCGAAACACTCCGAGAATGATTAATTATAACCGCGCGCTAATCCCCATTATCGTATCGTGCAGTGAAGTCTCTTCTCATCAATCGTGAGAATTTTGTATCATATTAACATCAAGGTAATGTCAACGTTGTCGATTATGTCACCGATTCACGCGAGCGAAGTTGCGCGTACCGATTCGCATGGAATCGCAAAATCGTAGCCACGCAGGTAATCCGCAATGAAATTGAGTACGGAAAAACAGAAGATGTCTATAGATGAGAGGGAGAGAATAATGGATCTGGATGCTAAAGATGAAGAGGAGGCGTCATTTGTCTCCTCGACGCATTGAGATGCAAATACGCGTCGCCTAACGTGATTTACGAGGAAGGAGCGAGCAACCAGACGTTTCCGAGTCCAGATCCGTTCAAGCAGATAAGATCTGTCCGAGCGCAGCCGCCACAATGGACCTAGAGATTTTATAGCGGCAGGTATTCGTGCGCGACGTCGTAGAACCATCGTTTCCTCTCGGTCAGCAAGTTTCCTCCGGGATTGACATAAAAGGGTCGCGGCTGATCCTGCGAGTTTCTGTGACCCAATAGAGATTCGTGAACTACGGTTTGCTCTGAATCTTTTTTTCGCAGAGTTTGCGAGATTAAACATCATTACGTTTGAATTGGCAGTAAAAATAAGTTTCGAATTAATTAAATTATTATTAGCTGCTATTACTTATTATTTATTATTAGCTGCAATCAATTCTAATTGAATAACGTGAGAGAGAGAGAGAGAGAGAGAGAGAGAGAGAGAGAGAGAGAGAGAGAAATCGAGCTTGATTATCACGTCAGTTTCCCTAACGATTGGCTCCCATTGTTTATAGGGAAATACATTCGCGTGGGATATCTTTGTTGACAGTTTTATTCAGAGAGCTCCCTCCATTGACAATGTTGCGAATTGAATCGGGACCCTTATGTAATTCAGTGCAGCAACGAGCATATCGACGAGCGCAGCGATCCTTTTCATTCGCCCAGGTGAAATCCTTTGTACGAACAGACATATATGGGGGCTGCCTCATCGCCGACGCTGGCGTCACGTGCGTATTGTCACGAGCGTAGCCCCGCGACTATCACTATGGAGCGTATTGACGCGGATTGCAGGCGCAGGTTAAATCGAGCAGACGGCGGCGGTGGCATCGCGACGCCGGCTGTGCGCCGCGCAACCCTTCGCTCGCTGTCCACCTCCCTAACCCTCAACGTCATCCAGAAGCGTCGGCGCGGAGGGACGGAGAGATAAAGATATAGAGGAAGAAAGAGAGAGAGAGAGAGAGAGAGAGAGAGAGGGAGGGAGGAGAGAGCGAGAGAGGGAGGAAGGGAGAGAGGGAGGGAGGAAGGGAGCAGGGATGGTGGACTCTGGCGAGAGGGAAAATTTACAAAGAGGACCGCCGCCGTTTCCGCCGCCGCCACTGGGAGAAACGAGACTACTTGTTGCGCGTCGCGGCGCCCCCGTGACGCCGTGATGCTCCCTTCTACCCCCCGTATCACCACGTTTCATCGACGACCAACAACGTCGCTATTGCCGCCGCCACCGCCCGCCGTCGTCGTCGCCACCCCTTCGACGTCGCACCACCACCGCTGCCGTCGCCAACGATGCCCCGCGATGCCGACGACAAAAATAGACGCGTCGTCGCGGCGCAACAGATATCACTCGAGCTCGAGTAGCTCTCGGTTACTTCGTTTTGATCATCGTGATAATGGCGATTAACAGTAGCCATCCAACCGAAAGAAGTCACTATATCAGAACTTGGAAGTTCGCGATATGGAATCCATCCTTATGAGAAAGATAAATATTCCGTTGAGTTTTACGTTAGCTCGAGAAAATTTTATCCGCTTAACTGGAGATGCACGGTGTACTTTATTTACATTCTAATGATTGAAAACTAGAAAGACGGTATGATCTGAAAAAACTTTTTTAAAGGCTTGTTTATGTAGAAGTCGTACACGATGGAACCTTAAGAAGATAGAAAACTGATCAGTCAAATATAAGGAGAATATTCGATATTAGAATTGGTCAATTTCTTACGATTTGACACTTTACGACTGTTTTTTGACGATTTTATAGACAGCCTTAAAAAGTGATTACATTGTGATAAGTATATTGATGCGGGCATATGTGTCGTTTATCTATTTTATAATTGCACAATTAATTTCGAATTAATATCATTAGATCACATGATCGATGATAAGAATTTTTTTTAAATATTGAAATTCAAAGCGCTATCCTCCGTGCAAAAATAACTTAGAAATAAAATACATATTTCCCGTATAATATTTCGTTTTCAAAAAAATCGATCTCGTGAAGAAAAAGTGACTTACCTGTATCTGGTTACCGATGTGCAGCTGCTGTGCTTGATTGATTTGCAAGGTGGAAGTACCGGGTCCCGAAGGAGGTCTTGGCGGCGTGGAGGTCGTGTTAAAAGGTCCTTGCGAACCGGTCTGATTAGGTCCACCTCCTTGCGATCCTCTTGGTGGTAACGGATAACCCGGGCTACCGTGATTCGGCATTGAACCCGGACTACCATACGGCGAGTATTGTTGTTTGTAACCGCCGCTAGGCCCTAACATGCCGGGCTTGCCGCCTGTCGCAGTTGGTTGGGGCCTCTTCATATCCGTGAGGCCTGCAGCAAATTGAGTTTGCGAACTGACGAACATATCGTTGGTCTGCTGACTCTGGAAGGTTGGAGTGCCATTGTTCTTGTGATACGAGCCGGTCCCCGCAGTCGTGGCCTGGTTTTGTCCACCGGTCGGGCCGGTGCTACCGGGACTACCAAGGTAATCGGAAGCGCCGCCGAATTGAGGAAATTCGGCGTAAGGGGATCTCGCCGCTGGGCCTCGTGCCGCAGCGGCTGCCGCTGCTGCCGTGGGGTTGAATCCACCTAGACCCAATTGCTGGCTCTTGTGCTGATGCTGCTCGGCCATCTGCTTGAGCGTCTGCGCCGCCGGACTCATCTCAGATTTGAAGTCTAATCCAGAGTAAGGAAGTCGAGCGGGAGAATATTGCGAGGACCCGAGAGTGCCCGGACTCGAGTTAGCCGGCATCGCGTTACCGTTGTTACTGCCGACGTTGTTGCTATTGACGCCGTTGTTCGCGCCGTTGGCATGCTGCTGTTGTTGCTGCTGATGAATCGCATCCTTGTCATCCTCAATCTTGATCTGTCCGTTATTCGTTGGTATACCGTTATTATTACCGCCATTGTTATTGTTATTAGCAACGGCGGCAGCAGCTGCGGCCGCGGCCGCTGCCGCGGCGTTGTTCGCCAATGTATCGACGCTCTTTTCTTCAAAGTCAAAGTCCTTCATAAACTCCGGATGGAAGTCTGATATTTCGGAGATGAGATCCTTGAATGCATCCGACGTGATGATCTCGTCGCCGGTGTCATCGCCCATGAATTCAGAGAAACCAGGGAAACCGGTGCCGTTCGCCGCGGCATCTTTCTCTAATGCCGCGGCACATTGTTCAAGATCCACGAACTCATTGTCAGGTTCCTGTTTACATTCGACTAGGTTACCAATGTCAACGCAACCGATTCCACCGCTACCACCAGCGCCACCGGCGCCGCCACCAGGGCCTCCGGGTCCGCCAGGACCTCCGGGACCGTTGCCGTTTCCAGGCTGCGGTCTCGACGCAGCTGACGCAGACGTATCTGAACCGGGTTTTGGCGACGATGACGCATTTAAAAGATCGCTCTTCACTGACGCATTTGTCAGTGCTTTTACCGTTACGTTCGTAGAGATTGCTTGGGCTTGTGAATTATTCGCAGCCGAAGTTGTAAACTCCAATTGCTGTACAATCTGAACTTGAAATTTGGTAAGACCTTCGTTCCCATCACCATTACCACCGCCACCACCACCACCGGGTGTTGGACCCGTCGAGTTCGCGCCATTCCCCGGTTGGTGCTGGCCATGGCCGTGATGGGGCCCGCCGCCGCCACCACCGCCAGGACCCTGTTGATGCTGATGAGGCCCTTGCGTGCATTGCAGCTTAACCGGCGGCTCGCCGAAGCCGCCATCACCACTAGCACCACCGGTTGGCTCCAACTCCTCGGTCGTCCTCTTGAGGAATTTCGGCTGCTGAAACGAGAAGAAAGTCCGTTAATCGTCGGGTGGACTTTCGAAAAACAAAAAAAAATAACAAGAAACGATATAAGATTAAAAATCTGCCAGCAATAAAAATATTCAAGAGTTATAATTCAAGAGTCGATGTGTCATTATTTCTTAATCCTTACTTATAATTTCTATTTTATTTATTATTTATTATTTTATTATTTTATTTATTACACAGCTTTAGCCATCTATAATAGTATTGACCGCCTTTCGATCAAGCTCGAGTCGAAGTAGATTTTCAAAGACTACCGCTTTTTCCGCTGCTCTGTTGCTCGATCATCGAACCAAGCAAGGTATTTAATTCGTCACTTGGTGTCGCTGGGCTTTCCAACTTTTTCTACGATTAACCCGGGCAGTTTCTCACCGTAGCTGTCAATACTCGCGACGCTTTTTCAGCCGCTGTGTTTATACGACCGTCTGCGAAGCGCCGTTTTGTTTCGCGGAGTGCCGGACCCTGATACTGTGGCTCGTAAATCTTAACGAGCGAATCGTCTACCAATCAAAAAGACCGATGACATATGACTTAATGACCGCGATACGATGAACCTAAATAGTCATTATCGAATACACATTATTAAGTCTTTCATTTATACAATATTACCGTACATCTCAACCTCGCAACAATATCTATTTTACATTTAAAATTCATTGTATTTTGTCAATATCGGACGAAAACAATTTTCATAACTACTGGTGATTATAGAGAATTTATTTAATTCTTAAACGTTTCACTATGGAAATAACACACAATATATACTAACCTAATTCGATTACTTACAACCTTCATAAAAATAAACATATCGTAAAAAACGTCTCAATAAGAATTCAGAACATTAAAGAATATAAGTTCTAAATAAATGTATCTTTATTAATAAAAAAATTGGACAATAAGCATTGGAAAAGTATGCCATATCAAAAAGGCATTTAGATTAGATTAAAATAATTCTTAATCATGTATATAATTATAAGATAGATTATTAAGTAGTAATTGCAGTTAATTAATAAGTTTAATAAGATTAGTTTTCTCTGCTGAACGTAGTCAATTAGAAAAGTTGATTACTTGCATTACTAATTACTCAATAACCATAATTACAATATTTTAATATTTATCTCAAAATTTCAATTCATATAATAGTTTATAATTAAACAATAAATATATTTTATAAAACAATAAACATTTTCAAAGTATTAACAAGATTTAGCAGATTATATATATATATATAATCTGCTAAATTTTGTTAATATCTTTGCGAAAAAATATATATAGTCTATATATATAATCTGGCTAAATCTCGACTATACAATGGCAACATCGTAATTGATTCCTCTAACAAAGTATCTCCAATAATCGAAATACGGCAGAAACTCGAGGCAATTATCGCCGGATTTCAAAGACGAATCCGCTTAGGAACCACGAGCTACCTCTCACCGGTGGGGATTTTTGTGAGATCTCCAAGTCGACGACCCTGTTTTCGGCCAGGCAAACAAATTCACAGCAGTGGCGCTGGAAGGAGGAAGAGAAGGGGGCACAAGAGATTGGAAAAAGTTTTTCCAGGGTGCGGTCGCGAGAAACGCTTTCACCGATGCGTATACACATACACGTACATACGCACGAGCGCACGCGGTTGCGCGCGCGTCGGTATGTATCTATACATTTGTCATGATTTGAACCGGGATAACCCTCCCGGTTTCATCCCAAAATCGATAATACGTATTACCCTCTAATAGAGAATCGAGCGCTCTACGCGAGTTTCCCCCTGCTAGTCTCCTCCCCGCCTGCGCGTCTCGCCATCCCGTTCCACCTGGCCCGAGAGCTCGAATAATCTTGCGTCTTCCGCAGATGTAATACGATATTCCGTCAGCCTTCTCTACCCGCAACAGCATCCTCCCACCAATCGTAAGATCGGCATACCCGCCATCGCCGTCGTAAAGGTAAATGACATTTCTTCAAGGACCCTGGCAACCAGCCCGTTCTTCTCTTTTACGTTTCCCGAAATGAAGTACATTAGTAGTATAGAAAAAGAAATAAATTCTCCCCATCGCAATCATCATTGATGGTTCCAACGAAATGTAAGACTCTTTTTTCAATGCAGTAGAAGAATCTCGCAGATACGCTGTGAGAGCGCCGCATCTTAGATTATGATCATTTTTGCGCTTAAAAATTTATCAAAGTGCTCGTAGAGATTGAGAGACTATTGATTTAAAGAGTAGATTCTCATTTAGTACAAAAATGATCATCAGGTTGATTTTTATAAACTCTAGAAGCGAGAAAATGAAACTCAGTCTAATTTTCTTGATTGATCAAGAATTTAAACCTATTTTTTATCCTTTTTTTTTAAGAAAATTGTAAAATAAGGTAAAATAATTACTTGGGCTCAAATTTGACAATGCCTCTGAGATAGTCTTTTTTAATGTTAATGTCTTGTGTCTTCATTTTGGAGCATTACATGCTGTTCAAGCATTTAAATGTGGATCAAAGTTACTTCATTTTATGGCAAGTCTATAACATAATTTCAAGTATTAATAAATTATTAAGCTCAATAATATAAAAATATTATATGCTGCACGTAAAACTGTACTGTAAGATAAGTTTCCATTTTCGATTTCAGCATAAATTCCGTCACACCGAACATTAATCCTTTGCGCCTAATCGTACAACGTTATGTAAGAGTACACAGAGAACTCAGTGTAGATTGCAAGTCGCAATGGTGAAACGAAGGAAAAAGGCTTCGGTCGAATAAAGCTCTCACGCGGCAATTTTATAGGACGAAAGGTATGTCGGAGATTGGCGGATAACGACATGGTTTGCATCCCGGCGGCAATATTGCACTCGCTCTTTCCTCCATTATTCCGTCGCGGCTTTGAAGCAAAAAATAAGTAAATGAAAACAAGAAATACTTTAAACTGCGTTTTCCACATCCTTGCTGTCCAACTAATTATTTTCTCTGAGTTGCCGCTATTTGCAGTCGCGTGAAAATGCGACCCTTTCTTTCTTCTGATATCGAAAGTACGTTTCATCAGCGAATTAAAATACCTGTCTATGTCAAATTATACGTTAATGATAATGATAAGCAGTACGTTTCTATTCGTGGATATGTAAAATGGTAAAATCGCGTGAATTTTATGTAGAATGCACGCTGGACATTTTTTACAACGATGCAAGGAAAGTAAAACCATCGATTGCAAAAGAAATTTGTTCATCGATGCACTTAGCGCTGTTATTGAAGATATAATCTATGGAACGAAGACACATTTTTTTTCATCGGATAAAAGAAAGTTTAATGTCCATTTCCATCAATGTTAATTTACTCTATCTTATTCTAATTATTATAAAACAGGAAAAAGAGAAAAGTAAGTTAAACTGAGATTAAAGTTAATTTACATTAGTGAAGACATATGCGTTCACATTTCAAAATTTATGTCTGAATGTATAACTTAAATACATCTGTAACCTCGACACGTATCACTCAGCGTAATATTATGCTTCGTTAGTCGGTATATGTTTGTTGATCGATTTAACCTTCATCATCAAGTACGACATAATGTGCGTCTTATCTAGTGGTTCAATAATCTTATCTGAGCTTGCGCAGAATTAATCGTGTGAGATAAATCGAGCGCCCTTCGCAATTTTGTAAAATCAATATCTGTCGTCAAATAATAATAACGTTTCGACTACAATGACTGTATATGCTTGTTTATATTCCTTCATCTGACTCGTTACCCATCAATGAATTTGCGCGCAATTAGAAATTAATACGCAATGACAGAAATCAGGAAAGGCGAATGAATTGTCGAGGGAGAAAATCAACTGCTTCGGGATGAAAGCACCCACGTGCGGCGTTACAGTTGCTTGCGTCGCGATGTGTGTTTCGAGGCAAACTGATTTCATCCACCCAATCCTTTATCACCTCCCAGCGAAATCGGCTAACGACCAGAGTACATCTCTTGAATGTGAACTGGCCGTGCTCAACTGGGGCCGAGTTATGCCACTTCGTCCGGAAGCAATAATCCGCAGTACGCGCAAATTTGTGCGCGCGCGAAGAGCGAATATTGCTTGGATACAGAGACCGTGTACTTGTGCCGTTAGGACTAAACTACCGTATCGCCATCGAGCGGTTTACTTCGCCGCGCCGCGCCGTAATCCACCGCATACTGCTCATTAAACTCGTCGAGTGCAATGCGATCGGTAGTTACGATGAAACCCGATTTTTGGGGCGATATGTAATCGACTGCACAGCTTCAAACTCGAGAGACAAAGGCCTTGTCAAAAGTAAGACATACCGTCATGTCCAGATTCTATGTGTTTGACTAACATCATGGGAATGGGTTACGAATGAATCTGTGGAAAGGATTACTTGCATATCTCATTAATTCTTATCTTTAAATTGTTCCCCGTCAGTCTAATATAATAATAAAATTCTTGCACGGAAAGAATGGTTTTTGCTATCTAAAAATTTACGTACACTGGAAAAAGTCTGGCATTAATAAAAATTCTGATTAAAAGTGAATAAATCAGAATTTTCTAGTTAAATTTAGTTATATCTAAATTATAATTCTTATAGTTGAAAAAACCAGAATTCTGATCGATTTTTAACTTAATAAGGAATTTTTCTGAGTATAAGAAAATCTCAAACGTGATGAGCAATGTTGCAAAAAATTTTAAATTTTTTTGCAGCATTGTTTGTCACTTTTGGAATCCTTACAGAAAAAAATTTCTAGTTGAAAATGGACGAATCACAAAAGATTCTGCTCATATCAATTATTCTGGTTATCTCGATTAGAATTATAATTCAAATAGAAAATTTCATTTTCAACCAGAATTCTTATTAATACAATCAGTGAGACTCTTTTTCCAGTATATATAATTATTTTAATAATCTACAAATATTAATCATATATCTACAAAAATTAATTTTATATCTGTATGTTTCTATATCTAGTTAAATTTGTAGACACTTCAGCAAAAT